CCATTATGGATTTCTGTATTTGAAATTGAGTGCTCAAGTCTTTCCAATCGAGTTGTCTAATCAAACGGTTAGCATCAGCATCATAGCTAGAGAAGGTTAAAACGCGAGCGGCACGGTTCTGAAGCTTCTGTAGCCTGTCAAATAATGTTTTACCACAATTACCCCAGACAAGATTGCAATAATCGAAATGAGATTGAATTAGTGAGTTGTATATATAGTGAAGGGTAGGTGGAGGGACAAAAGGTCTAATTCTTTTTATTGCTCCAATTCCGGAAGCGACCTTTTAGATAATTTATCAATGTGTGTTTGCCACCGTAGATTTTCATCAATAAATATTCCAAGCGATTTGACAGAGGAAACGTGTTCTATCGGAACATTATTAATCGAGAGCTCAAGTGGGTTCGACAAAGTACTCAATTTTTGTCTGGAGCCAATTAGCATGAATTCAGTTTTAGAAGTGTTCAAAGTAAGTTTATTGGAAATAAGCCATTTGTTTAGGTTATCTAAATCGTGACTCAGAGTTAACTGTATTGAATTCACATCAACGCCAGCATAAGTAATGTGGGTGTCATCGGCATACATTCTAGGCTGGCACGAAGTAAGGCAGTTAGGCAAGTCATTAATATAAATAAGAAATAAAAGGGGCCAAGGATTGTTCCTTGCGGTACCCCACATTTAAGAGAGCAGATTCTAGAAAGAGAACCGTTAACAAGACATCGTTGTGTACGATTAGTTAAATACGACCTAAACCAATCAAGAGCTGTACCTTGTATTCCGTAAAGGTTCATTTTAGCTAGAAGGATATCGTGGTCAACGGTGTCGAAAGCCTTTTTAAATCGAGGAAAACCACAGCATTAACATTGCCACGATCAATATTAAAGGCCCAATTATCCGTAGCTTCCAGAAGGGCAGTTGCAGTTGAGTGTAACGAGCGAAAACCCGATTGATGATTAGAAATGATATCTTCATTGGTCAAAAAGTTATACAACTGATCATAAACAATCCTTTCAAACACTTTAGCTATAACGGAAATGACTGAAATAGGTCGATAATTATTCAGATCAGATGGCTCACCTTCCGTCATAAAATGACCAGAAAAAACAGCGACAAGTAAGGGTACAAGAAGTTTGCTCCTCAAAAGCGCAGAAAGAACTTAGGGACTCAACAGGAGGATTATAACGGTTATTTTGAATTCCCGACAAATTTTTGAAAATTGCAAATATTTTATTTGTCGTAAAAATTCTCATTACGGAGCAGATTTTCAAGAAAACGTTTTCCCACGCGGTATAACTCAGAAGGACTTAAAACTAATTTTCCTGATAAGCACAAATGATCTTCTTTCCAATGATGTAAAAGTTTATCTAGGGCTTTCATTCACTGCTACGAAAAAGTCTGCCAAAGTTTGAGGAAATCACGCATTGACTGGTCAACAAACGAACGTAATCAAATTACGCTCTTCGTTATCAAAACCAAAATTTCACACAAATCTTAGCTTTTAGCTCTATTTTAGATCTAAAAGACAGTACAGTAACCTTACCTTGTAGAGGCAGCGGTGAAAGATTGTTTTTTCTCACTAGTTTCGTTTCAAATTGCTATCTCCACGTGAACAAACGGCACACATTCCTTGGGCTTCTGCAGTGAACACCGAATTACTCGACATTTTCAACCATGTTTGAGCTTTTGCGCGTTAATACCCCACACGTTGACTAGATCCTTCTAAAAGGGACAATAATGAGATGATTCAGAGTTGAAGAGTAGTGAATCTTGAACTCCAGAGTCACTGAATGTTCGCTAGGCGCTTGCAGCTCGTTTTCAGATTTGTCACGCAATGAGACACAGGAGACCCAATAATGCTATCGTATGCACAAGCCCCAACCATTACTTTTGGAATAAGAATTCTTTTCCTTAATGCCCAATTTTGAAAATCTCGCAATAAAAATAAAAAACGAAGTTAATGCATCTGATATTTGTATAGGTAATAGCATGATTTGTAGTGATATTTGGCATAAATACTACGAATGACATTTCTCATGTGGTAGTCAGGAGCCGATTACTTTCATCGCATCTTAGGTGAATGGAACAACGTAGATCACAATTCGTTAATCTGGATTTGGATTCGTTGGATTTCAAATCATGTTAGCGAACCCTTTTTGAAAAAGCCATTCAAGAGATAAAATAATTGGATTTAGATTTGTCGATTTGTTGTCTTGCAGTAGTCCGGAGGAGCGTTGCGTGACGAGTGACCACCCTAATAACGGCTGCGAAGGAGACTAGTCTTGCAGGGACGCAAAATCCGTTTTAAGATCAAAAATCTATTTTTGGATTGGCCGAAAGGAGCACACCCACATAAAGTTCGGCCCACAGCGAAGTCAAGGCAGTAGGATTAGTAAGTTTTCCTTTAGCGTTGGAAAAATCGCAAAAATTAGAAAACGCAAAAATTTCGAGCCAAACGGTATCTTTTTAGGCGCTTATTGCAAAATTATTCTACTCCAAGTAAAAAGAGAACTGTTAGAGACTCTGACTCACCATTGCTTACCCTCTAAAATTTTGCTTATTCATGGACAGTTCTCATTTCGTCACGTCCAACCCTGTCTCTGCAGTAAAATAATGTTAGAGCTCCAAGCACCGAAACGATGGGGCTCCGGGTGTCTCATTGCGTGACAAATCTCAGAACGAGTTGCAAGCGCATAGCGAACATTCAGTCACTCTGGAGTTCAACATTCACTCCACTTCAACTCTAAATCATCTCATTATTTTCCTTTTCAGCAGGATACATACACACATACATAGCCTTTATTTACGTGCCTAATCGTTCTAGTGCCTATTGGCACTAATTGGGACACCTTTAAAACTAAATTACCTCTATACGAAACTAATTAAATACTAGAAAACATAAGAAAAAGCCGGAAATTAACACTATTCCAGCTAATTACTCTTTTACACTTTATAAATAAGTTCTAAATTTACTCTTTAACACTTTAAAACTAAGTTCTAAATTTAAAATATAAAAGAACTAAATGCATATATGAGCTCGGAGGCTAAAATAAATAAGTACGTAATAAGTTTTCGTACGTCCAGTTAACCTAAGCATAAGCGGCATTCACTCCCACATCCTTCAAGAAATGATGTTACATCCTTTTTACGTTTCATTATTGTCCTAGAAGTTGCCAAAGTTCCAATATTTCCCTCCTCTTTGTTTAATTTTAACCACAATTGTGGTCCGAGAAATCTGAGAGAATGTCTTCCATAAGTAACAGTTTTAGACCGAGGTAGGACAAAATCTGCATTTCTTAGGTTATATCTCTTACGATTAGTATTCTCCTCATTGATATTAAAAATATGGCTGACATCAAGGGTCATGTCAGGGAAAAAAGCACAGAATCTAGCAATGGCTCTCGGTTTGAGTTTTGGCAAATTTATAACTGGCTATGAAAAAATTCTAGGAGACCTTTTTAGGGTAAAAATCCATTAAAAAATAGGCAATTATACCATTTTTTAGATGTTCGAAAATCCTAGGAGGCAGCAAGCAAGAAATTTTACAACAAATGTTCCGAAAATTCTAGGTCTCAAATCGTCTTCCGAACAGATATTTTCCGAAAGTTGACGTTAGGTGCCCCTGAAAAGTTCATTCGCTCCAGAACAAATAAATGTCATTCGCGTTCGCTTATATAAAATATCAGGCGAAACAGTTTTCGGTCCGGTGGAATCTGTTATTTTTTCCCCTCTGTCTTCTTGTCATTTTCAGTATTTCACTCACGGCTGAATTATATTGATAGGATTTTTGAGGATTTCATGACTGTCCGTACTTGTATAAAGCATATGCCGTTGCTGAACACAAATAGTCCACTTTCGACATCGCTATGACTGCTGCATTAAAGAAGTGAAGATGCATTTTTTACAGGCTTAGCCTTCACAAATTCCAACGAGAAAAAGATTAAAATTTCAAACACTTACTTGCTAGAATTTCTGAATATTTTACTTTACGTCGAGGTTAACCCGGTATAAATGTGCCGTTAATGTTTGTATTCAGCGGTAATTTTTAATTCGAAACTGGACTGTTATATAACTTTAAAAAATTGAGAATTTCCTTAAATCGATGATCGAACGAATAAAGATAACATAAGAATTTTAACGTTATAACTAGTAATAACGAAAGGTTACGGAGTGCGGGCCGGGCCTGAGTCCTCAAGGGAGGAACACAAGGGAGCAAATACACTGGGACAAGGGAGTAACCTCGCAGAACTGGAGGCCGCGTGGCGAAACACGCGTACCAAATTGCAGAAAAATGCAAAGGAAAACATTATAATTCAAAATGTACAGGGGTCAAGAAAATAACACTGTAAACAGTGTAAAATAAAACAGGCCGAACAGATTGACCTAATAAGGCAATTATCAATGCTGCGATCTGATTGGTTGAGCTACTACTAGGCTATATGTTATACTCAACCCACTAGTAGCGAAAAGCGCCGGCTTTTTGGCGGCAAAAAAGGATTAAAGTCTAGCTTTAACTAGCTAGAAAATTGTCTATTATCGATATTTTTGACCAACTATTGGAATTTTACCAAAACAATTAATCCTCTCGCTCTCATGGTCTCTAAGTCAAGAGCCCATTCAGCCTTCGGCCTCATCTGCTATTGACTCAGAGGCAATTCGTGCTCGAGGAATAATTGTTAAGTATATGTCTTACAACCATAAGATATCTATACAAGTATTTTTTACAGGCTTTAACACCTATATACTTGGTTATTGAAATAAATAATCCATTCCTACCAAGTGCGCCTTACTCACTTACTGAATTACACAATCGGGTTGAACAAATCGTTCCCACAGAAATTGTGAGACTTTTTTCTTATGCAACCAGTTACGAAAACTTGATGCTGAGGCAATTGGCCTTACGTAGCTTAAGTAAGCAAGCAAAGTAAGTAAGTAAGTAAGCAAGTAAGCAAAGCAAGCAAAGTGAGTGAGTGAGTGAGTGAGTGAGTAAGTAAGTAAGTAAGTACAAAACGTAGACCCGATTCGCAACTTTTTCTCAAATATATATAACGAATCCGGCTATTAGGACAGTAAACTACATACAAAGTATTCGTAACAAGTTGGGGAACGAAGTCCCTATTATCGCGGTCTATCGTGACTCATTTCTCCAATAACTATACACTGTGCCACATGCGGTCGGACAAAAGTCCCCCAACCGAACCGGTGTAGTAAATTATTGCTAAAAAGCTGAAAAGAGGAGTGGCTAATAGGATATTTACAAGTTTTAATTTACGACTAGTAAGCATGGGCGGGGATGACTTCAACTGGTCACTGTTCAATTTGTCCTTAGGAGTACAAATGAGATATTTCTTGCCCCTTGCACGCAGAGTTCTGTACCAAAATGGACTTGCGTAACGTCTTAATGCTTGCCAGTGAATACAAAACAATTGTAACGGTTACGTCAAAAAAGTAACAAATAGCTCCTAATACATTTTCACCAGAGACGTCTTTTAATGGTTACGATTATTTTATGATTGTTTTTTTCTTTACGCTGTGACTGCAAGATGACGATTTAGAGGCTTTATAAAGTGGCAAAAAACTTTCAACGGAAAGGTTAACTTTTAATATTCACGGGATGCAACAGCTCAAATTTACAAGGGCGAACGATTTGCTCAGAGGGCACAAAAGTTTAGCCTACTTAAAGATGAGATAACATATTCAGTAGTCCGTTCAAAGCCTATATAGTTCCATGGGTACCAAAATGCTCTTGCTGTCAGTCTGTATTAGCAAATTTAGGAATGACTCCAGAAACGCTGATAAATGCAGCTGTTTTAGGTTATATGTATCTTGTTTCACGTAGTCGTATTCTGTTGAACTCGCCTATTACAGCAAAGATACTAGCCCAGTTCAATCAGAATAGAGGGAGTGATGCACAGTTTAGGTAACAGGAAAGTAAACAATCTGTTGGTTAAAGAGGGCATGGATATGTACACAAATGATTAAATATCATCCATGAGATGCAGTCTCCTGAACTTGTCCAAGTTGTAGAATGCACCTCTAACAGTGCGACCACCAAAGTACCTTCCATTGAGATCAACAAGAGCTGAAAAGGAAAGAAAACATTATGGATCTTGGTACTGAATCATTCATCCAACTCAGAGTTACAAGCCTTTGTAGGGAAAGTCTAGAATTAGATCATCGCGTTACTTGTCACCCAGTATTCCCTAGCAACCCTGACAGAAATACGTTTCTACAAATGCTATACCCTACATTGCAGGCATATTCCTGTGCTCGAGTAACTGCCAGTGTTGAACTCAAAACAGTCGCGGTGTTGCGCCGATTCAAAGAGGCCGTGCAAGGCTACCACCCTATTCCTTTTTTGTAAAAACAAAGATGACAACGCAGGTTATGGTGGCTCTGGAATGACGTCATTTGGCAAAAGCGCCACTCGCAACGTCAAAACTACCTAGTTTCGGTCTACGTGATAGTGGATCATGTTTTGACATCAGTAAACAATATAAATGATAGTTTGATACAGAACAGCAACGGTAAAGACTGTTAACAAATGTGTTACTGTGTAGAAAGTAGTCTTGAAAGGCGGTAAGTTTGAGCTATATTTAAATAACCTGTCTTTAGATTTCAGTAACCTTTAATAGCTGATTCAACTCGCTGAAACTCAACAAAAATGCGCACTGTCTCTTCCTCTTCCATGACACCTTGTGGGAACTGAATGAAGACAAACATAACAATTTGTTACAACGTAGACGCTTATTAAGGATACAGTATGTCTACACAAGTCCTTTGAAGTTTGAAACAAACACACACACATTCAAGGCTTTCATGTACACACGAACGATGTAACCGATTACAGTAATCTGTCCCGCGGGTTGGACAAGTTCACAAATGTGTGTTTTTACTAACGTACATGAACTTGTGCAAACACTGCCTAAGCGGGTCGCTCGGCCCAGACAGTGGTCAACGCATTCGATCCACAATCTGACCACTGGCTGGATTGTTTCTTGTTACTGCGATGCCCCTTTCTGGGTAATAATTTCGGTTTTCGGTCGTCTGTCCAGAAAAACGGTCATCATGCGGAGGAGGGTGGGAGGGGAGAAGACACGAGGGTCTGCTACCGAGAAACGATGTTCTCCAAAGTGGTTACATACGATTTTCCCTTGCACGAATATCCCCCCCCGACCCCCACAGAAACCCAGCGTTGCGTTGTTCGAAGCGATTCGATCATAGGAGTCACTTAATAAGTTTTGTCATTGTTCGAGTTTAAGTGAATTGATTATGTTGGCCCTGGGAAACTCAGAGAAATGCTCTCGTTGCATACAAACCCATACGCCGTTCACGATAGGTTCACACTTAAAGATGACTGTGAGCGTTAGTTTCGGAACACTAGGGCCGTATCATGAACTCAAAGAGAGAATTAACGATCGATGTAGTTCATCAGTAATTAATTAGCACAATTTATGAGCAAAGCATTTTACGAATTGATGACACTATGGCTGAAGACTTGATTGTAAGCTGTTTGTCACAGCCGATATTTCAATGTTATCTTTAGAACGGAACTCAGTTTCATCAGAGCGTTATTCTAGCAATTCTGCACAAGTCAGCAAATCTAGTTTTAACTCTTTCGTATCTTTCTAAAACTCCGCAGCTGAAATAAGCGTATTAATCAAATACAAATAGCCGGCAGTGACATGTGCACAAATATTGGAACACCTGACATGTACTTTCAATAGAACACGTGTATTTCTGTACGTGTCTCTTTGTTTAGCCTGCGTAGTAAGCGCTTCCGTTTGGTTTCGGAGCAAAGAAAGACCAAGGAACGGGATTCTCGGTTTTGGCCGCGCGAGAAATGAAACAAGAGCCAAAAAATGAAAGTACTTACGCCATTTTCGAGCGGTCTTTGACTATCGTTCCTCGTTCGTTGCTCCTAAACCGCACGGAAACGCTTGCTACGCAGGCTGCTCTTTGTTAGACAAGAACCATTTTACATTTCAAAGAAACAACCATTGTGCTCTGTTCATTCAGCTTGACTTACAACATGTGTTTTTCTAAAAGTACAGGAACCGAAATAGGAAGTATTGTATTTACACCATAAAGAAAAGTCTTTTAACCAATCGAGTTGTAACGCGTTGATCAGCTAGCAGGTGTATTTTTGAATAGGTTTTTGTGTTCCTTTGTGGTAATCGAACACCTGTGTTTACTGTAGACTGTACAAAAATACTTAAACTGTTGTAAATCGATTACCTAGCCTGCGATTACCTGTACGACTACCTGCGATTACATGTGAAGTACTATTTACGAGGTTTACTCTACAATAAAGAAGTTGCAGCATTACAGAAAAGTCTCAGTTCTTGTCCAACCTTCGTACCTTGGGACGTGGAAATTAGACCCTGTACCTCTGGCAGTAGTAACGAGTGCCAGCAGCGAGCCAGTCGCTCTACCGAATTGCAGTTTCCCCCGACAATAACTTCCATTAGCAGATCACTATTTGCTAATTCTCGCGCCCTCGCGAAGAGCTTTAGTTCCGTTGTTTTCCTAGTTCGACTTTCCCGCCAATTTGGTTTGACAGTCTGAAAAGCCGCTTGACAAAGTGAAATTTCCTCCCGTTACATTGGTGGAGAACCCGGGCGTTTCTACCGTCTCTACTGCGACTGGGGGGACAAAGTTGCAAGACAAGACTACCAGAACTTCAAGGTAATCCCTCGGAAACGTAAAACTGCACACGTTTCTTTGTCCACCCCACATGTAACAGAATCTATTGTTGTCAAGCCTACGTTATTCCATGGACGCGAAAATGAAACTGTTGATCGTTGGCTTCAGCGTTTCTCCTTATACCTTGCCAACGGAAAAATATCGTCCTCAAGTGACCAGGCAGCTGAAAAACTGGCTCTTCACCTTTCTGGGCCAGCAGAAACATATTATTATAATCTTCTTAGTTTAGTAAAAGCTTTGTACACCTTGTTGAGAGACGCATTGAAGGAACGTTTTTCTCCTGCTCATCCCCACCTAAGAAACCGACAAGAACTGTCAAAACGCCGCCAAGGTCCATCTGAATCTACTGAAACCTACTTAGCAGATTTGAATGAAAAATTTAACTGCCTAGATCTTCGTTTTGGGGATAAAATTTGTTACCTTATTCAAGGACTACATGCAGATATTCAAGCTGAAGTCTTAAAAAAGGAGCCTAAAACTTACAACGAGGCAGAAAAAACAGCAAGACTTATTTACTCCATTGAACAGTCCACCCTTCAGAGGAAAGAAGAAGATGTCTCACGTATTGTACAGGCTGCTAGTTGCATGCCTTCAATAACTAATGCTGGCGCAACTCCTGAAGTACAAGGTCCTCTTACTCGAATAAAGCATCAACTTGATAACGTAATGTCAACTATGGCCAAAACGCACTCTAAGTCTGAAGCCGTTTTAAACGCATGCCAGTACTCGCCCCGGTACACCTCTGCTATAGATAGTAAAATGACACGCCTTGAAGAGCGAATGGAGCAACTCATGAAAATGGTTGGAAACCGCCCTCAAGAAAGTACAGGGCCTAAAATTACTGCTTACCAGCCTACCGCTATTTAATCGGCAGATGAAGAACTGAGGTACTTACAAGTTCGTCAGTTAAGGGGGATAACTTCAGAAGAACATTTTAATGCTATTGCAGCCTATCAGCCCTCTACAAGTGAACGTAATCACTCTGGCAGTGAATCAGAAGAACTGCGGCGCCTTAGGGAAGAAAACAGATTTTTAAGGACCGCTCAGCGTGGTTCACAATAACCACAGCAGTTTCACAACCGCATGAATCACAGTGGACAAGATGCATCCCATTTACAAGAAAGAATGATGAATGAAATACGTCGAATGCAAGCTCGCATAGACGGGTTCATGAAAGCCCACACAAATGGAAACAATCGACAAGAACAACCGAGAGTACGGACCCGGGAGGGGCGCCCGGTTTGTGACATCTGTGGTCGAGTGGGTCACGTGAGACAGAACTGTTATGCTAGAGTTGATCAACGAAATCAATATCAAAACCCTCGAAACACTTAGTCACACACACAGACAGACCCAGGAATTGCTGCTTTAGAAGCCGACGGTACCGCAGAACCAGTTGTTGCCCAGTTTAATCAGCCAAACCACCAACAGAAAGAGAAAGAAGCACAGCCTGAAGGAGCTTATTATGCAAGAAGAAGCAATCCACCCATATTTGGGTCTACAGAAGTACCAAGAATAAGTACCATTCAAGCTGTCCAGCCAATTAACTACAATTCAATGAAGAAGAATGAGGCGCGTACACGCGATATACTTAAGACTGAATTTACTGAGCCAGCTCTAAACTCAAAACGTCAGAGCCACTCTGATCAGACTCATAGTACATTTCACCCTAAGCACAGTCAAGAGAATGCGACAGAACCAGAAACCTATACAAAAACCAAGCCTAATTCTTCAGAAAAGGTAATTGTGATGACCACCAGCCACAAAGAAAATCTGCAGGTGACAAATAAAACGCAACCTGTTGCCACACATAGCGACCCTGCCGAAGAAGATCAAGTGCGCATTATATCAAGTGATGAAGGCTACACGATTGCAGACGACTCTCTTTAGTCCGCGCCAGATCAGGAGCCAACTCACCAGCGACAGGAGTTATCGAGTTCATATCAAGAGACTAAAGTCCACTCAAAATCAAACAGAAATACACAAGAGTCTGCAAAGCATAAGAAGATCAAACCCACACAGCGTAGTTTTCCACCAAATACACCGCAACGGACCGCCTTTGTCATTGGTAAAATAAATGATTGTCCAACGAAACTACTCATTGACTCAGGAGCTTGTATTTCGGTGATAAACTACGAATTTGTCAAAGAAGTTCTTCATGATAACGCGCATCATGATGACGCCCATCCTGAAATAACCCCGAGTACTTTCCCAGAAAAGCATACCGTCAGTGGTGAAAAACTTTCAACTACTGGCCACATTCAAGTCACCTTGTTACTAAATGGAAGACAATTTCCGTGTCAATTTCATGTCATTAACAATGTGGCTTATCACGCTGTTCTTGGAAGAGATTTTCTGCAGTCCAACGGTGCGATCATTAATTTTTCTGAATGAACATTAAAGTTAGACAAGACCTACCCACTTAAGATGACCCTAGGAGAAGAATATTCACGACCTCTAGCTCTCCTTACCGTCGTAAAGACCAGCCCTGTTGCTAGAAGCAATGACGTCGATAAATTCCTAAGAGAGCTTCCCCATTATTATAGTGCTTTCCTACACAGGTGCAAGAAGGCCCGTCATGGACATGTCAACTCCCAAATCAAGCAAGAATCAACAACCGCCTTACTCAAAGGATGAAAATAAGTCAGTGATCCGGAGTTTACCAAGTCAACTCTTTCAACAGAACATTTTGAAAGCAAGCCACCCAGTCGCGTCCAAGCAAATCACCACATCATTCTACAGTTTCTTCTTACTCCAGTCCGCCTTTAAAGACTCCAGCATCATTTTCGCACAATCCCTCAAGCTACCAGAAAGAGCAACTGCAATTTACCCATTTCCATGAGAGCCAATACAACTATCAAGACGAAATACCCGCCAATTTGGTTTGACAGGCCGAAAAGCCGCTTGACGCAGTGAAATTTCCTATCCTTACAGTTGTACTGAAGCGAACAACTTAGCTGCCCATGAATATCAGACGAATCCTGATGTTAAGAAATGGACGTCCATGAGCGAGGGACGTGACAACTTTGCTATGTTAGAAGACTGGCTTTTCATTGAAATATTTCTTTCTATTTAATGCAACACACGCCACTTTGGAGGACTAAATTTCGGATACCGAGGATAAAGAAGACACGGACAAAAATAAGAACTCTGAGAACTTCGCACACAAGTTCTTAACTTCACCGGGACATCCGATCCTGAAACTTCACAAAGACCAACTTGACCTATTACTGACAAGGTTTGGTGACTGAGTGGAGTATACAAGTGTAGCCCAGAGGTTTTGCTCTTGTTTGTATCTGTATCTTCCTAAGCTTTTATCATTAAATTTGTACATGATCTTGTTATCACCTTTTATGCGTCTCCTCAATTCTGTTAGCAAGCGCGATATATTGATGTCAGCATGAGTGAGTTTCAAAAAACCTTTGAAAATTTTCAGCTCGCGTGATGTTTCTTGATGTTTCTTCTACCATTTTATGGAGATGTAAACTGAGGCCACCGCAAAATGGGAACTTAAAAAAGCCTGTGATGGATTTATCTCGAAACACAATACACATGACTTACACGACCTTTATTTTCCTAAAGGTGTTTTGAATAGAAACGAGGGGGGAAAACAACATTAATATCAATAAGCCATATGGTTTTAATTAATATAAGGATCAGTTATTGTACATTGAGATAAATCGCTTGAAAAGAGAGAGTAAGAACGCTGCGCAAAGAGGGGTACAATCAGTCAGAAACAGACCTTCTCTGTAATACAATAGTTCTACCTTATATTAAGTACGCATCATCTGTCTACGCCGCGTCCGAGTTCGATCTTACACCTGTACAATGTTTCTTAGACCGCTGTTTTAAAAAGAAATATAAGTCTAAGCCAGTAAGTGTTTATGATTTCTTAGAGAGGCAAAAGAGGCAAGAGACCGTAAAATTTTCAGAAAAGTTTCTAATGCTAAAGGACATCCACTTTTATCTATTAAGCGTCGTGTTAAACCGTCCAGTTACAATCTTAGGAAAGAAACTTGTTTTAAACCAAAGATTAACACTATGCGTTTTAAAAACTCTTTTATTAATCGTTTAGTTTTTAATTATGAATTAGCCATGTAATATACTAGATTTTTTTTAATTTTTACTTTTTACCTCTTTTAAAATTTCTTACACTGACTGGTAACAAAAGATATGTATTTTTATCTTTTGATGAATATAGACTTTATTACTTTATTATTTAATGTGATCAGGAGTAAATAAGGGCACATGGTGCGTTTCGCTCAGTCGTCTTAATATCCAAGGACTGTGAGTGGTGTTTCGATATTGTTTAGCTGGCACAAAAACTTCGGAGGAGTTATAAAGCTGCATAATTTTCTGGCATGAAGAAAAGTTAGTCACGGATGAGGCAAAAGGCAAACTCAAGCGAATTTTTAACTCATATTAGTATCACAGTAAAAAAAAAATATGTTATCGACCGTTTCATCTATTTACATTGTTTAAAGCGAGGGCCGATGAAAGCAAAATAGGTCACAAAATGCAAATGATTTTATTCTTTTAAGCTAGAGAAAAATACCAAGAGAAAAATGTTAAAACTGAATATCTTTAATCTTGTGGAAAAAAAATAATGCATTTAACATGAAAACGGTTTTAATGTAGACTGTAGACCGCACATTAGGATCGTCTCAGTGTAATCAATGAGGCCCATGGATCGGGATCAATGGGCAGTTGGCTGTCTATTTTAGCAAACTTCTCGTTTTCATACGATTCAATATTTCTGTCTAGTGTTAGCAGAAGCATCCAAGTGAATTCGCCTTTTGGCGACTCTAGTTAGTTCCATGTTTCACCTTCAGCTATACTGTATTTGGATTTTCTTCCTTGCTTACTTTCTTACTTATTTGAAAGTACGTACATAAGATAAAGCTTAACGAAAAAAACAACTATCGTATCATACTTACCTCGTATATGATCACTTTAACAACTTCACCGTATTTACCGCATTCATCAACAACTTCAGGCTGTAATTCATCATCTACTTCACCAGGACCTACCATATTCTACAAGACAAAAGTTTGCAAGAACAGCACTGCAACATTTTAAGAGTTGCCTGCCCCATTTGAAGAGAGACTACTCTTGCACTCGTCTTCCTTATTTCCAAACGACATAGTACTTTTTTTATAAGATCCTTTCCTAAGAAAATAAGTAGAACATTTACCTTAGGCCGACCCTGAGTTAAGAAAGAGTAGTAGTAGCTACTTTTAGAGATTACAAGTGCAAGAGAGAAAGTCACCTTCCTTCCTTGTGTACAATACTTTACATAACGAATGTTGCGAGCCTTGCTCCTATTGTCTTGTTAACATTTTGATTCAAAACATTACTTAAGCATTATTGTGTACTTATCTCCTTATATTATTTATGATTGGACGACCATTAAAGGTACAGTAAGCATGAACTTCGCACAATAAACAGAAAAAAGATGTCCCCGACAAAAAATACGTCATATTACACCCCTATCTCCCTATAACGGCCACCTCTCCACAACGGCGACTTTCTTCTGTCACCAAGGTGCCCGTTGCGGAGAGGTTCAACTCTAGAACAGGTTCAAATTTAGACAGTGATGGAAGGAGAATTTCCTAATTTGTTAGACAAACCAATAGCAAATCTTTGCTGACGTGCGTTCATTGTTTACATTTTTGCTCACTGGAATACGAGGTAAGCCATTTAGGGGCATCGCCGTATATATGGATACAAATTACGTTCAGGCGTTGAAAGCATTGGTTAACTTGATAAATTTGTGTAATTTTCAAGAAATTCTTTGCAAACACTATCTAAGGAAATAGCAGTCATAAAGAAAACTAGGAAATTCCGAGTTGTTAAAATAGAATTTCTCCCGTGATATTTGGTAGATTAGGCTCATACTCTCAGAGACTGCTCATTTCAGTATATGCATTTAGAGACGTTATCTTTTTGATCAGACAGAGAACGATACCCGCGTGTTCATGAGAAAATAACTGATGAGAGCTGTACTTACTCTCAGGACAATGACTTTACTTGGATTTTTCATCACATTAGTCACTGGCTCTGCTTCTTTAACGGCAGCTTTTGATTCTGTAGATAAAAAATAAATAAATAAAAATATGAATCCAAACAGTCCAGTCTCAAAATGCACGAATGTACATGTAAAACCAAATCTATATTCTCATCAATGCATCAGTTACGACGATCGAGCTACTTATTAGAGATTGATAATCAAGTTTTCCCTCTACCTGTTATATTTAAGTGTTTACTATATCTACAAAGAAACAAGTACTTTCAAGACAGCTTAACCCATATAAATCATTTTGAACATAACTTCTTATCTGCTCATTTCTTAGGAAACTGTCAACTTGAACCTGATGTTTGCTGCTTGCTGTGCAAGTGATTCCGAATCTCTCGGATTATTATGATAGAAGTACACTAGTATTTTGATGTCTGAAGAGTCTTTTACTTAAGGTGGCCCGAACCTATTTATATGCGCGTTGGTTGTTTTTAAATCGCGTTTTTCGACAGGAAAGTTTTGACAGATTCCTGTGATTTTTGGCACCTTCAATAAAGAATGGTCGAACTTTAAGAAACTGTTATATATTTAATTGTAGGTATAAAAACGTTTGATATCGGCACATGTTTAAAACCACATTTTTACAAAACATGTCAATAACTTCGAAACCCTAACAAGCCTCAGAGTTCTCTAGTTTTATATCTGCAAGTTTGAAGTCAATCGTGAGCGTAGAACTCGCTGCACAAATAGAATGTGGGCAAGATGAACGAACATCTATTTATCAGAGTTACTGTGTATTTGCCCTTATCTTTTCGAAAAAAAAATCTCAACAAAGCAAGATATAGCATCTACGGAGATCTCCTACCAGTTTTAGCACCGAGAGCCACCAACTCCAGTACTTCAACCGATCCATTTTCAGCTGGAACGAAAACTTATTCAAGCTTGTAAGATTTGCCATCACATTCGCACGGGCAGTTTGCCACTTGGGATAATGAAAAGAATAAGCCGATTGTCATATTTTCTTCATCTTTATCCCAAAGCGGCAAACTTCCCGTGCGAATGTGATGTCAAGTCTAAAAACCATGAATAAATTAACAAGTACAAGGGCTTTCAGTGCAGCTGAGAAATGGACGGTTAGAAGTACTGGAGTTGGTGGCTTCATTTGTCATAAAAATGGAAACCTGCGACGCTAAAAACTCTTAGGAGTTTTTCGTAGATACTATATTTTGCCTTTTAAAGATAGGTTTCGAAAAGAGAGGGACCAATACAAAGTAAGTTTGATGAATGAAAGTTTTTTAATCTTGTCCCGCATTCAGCATAAAGTTGTTCTTGTTGTATTGTGAACTGTATTCGCCGTAGGTTTCTGATCAGCCAGTTTCTTGCAACTGTAGCTTTGGGCAAGAATACTATTGCAGATAGGAGATAGTCTGTCGGCAGTTTTCCTCTATTTGTGCGTCAACTTTCAGAACATCCTCGGAGACCCAGGGGCAGATAGTGGGGGCGAGGGAAAGTCTAAACAGGCGGGAAGATATGGCACAAAAGAAAAGTAAAGAACGGCCAGAAGAGCCCCTGGGGATAATGTCTTACCGGACCAGTTCCAAACGGTCGTCGCCGTTCGGGCTTCTGATTGGTGCCAGAAAACTTGTGTTGTCCCCAGGGGCTCTTCTGGCCGTTCTTTACTTTTCTTATGTGCCATATTTTCCCGCCTGTTTAGACTTTCCCTCGCCCCCACTATCTGCCCCTGGGTTTCCGAGGATGCTTTCACAAATGTGTTAACGTTGCATTGTAAGGCTAAATTTGACAAGCTATTTGTGCAGCGAGTTCTACGGTCACGATTGACTTCAAACTTGCAGATATAAATCTAGAGAGCTCTGAGGCTTATTTGCTGAAGTTAGAAAAAAATCTGTCTTAGGGTTTCGAAATTATTGACATTTTTTGTAAAAATGCGGTTTTAAACATATGCTGATATTTCAAACGTTTTAATACCTACAAGAAAGTAAATAACAGTTTCTCAAAGTTCGAGCATTCTTTATTCGGGACGCAAAAAATCATAGAAATCGTTTAAATCTTTCCTGCCGAAAAACGCGATTCCAAAACATAACCAACGCGCATATAAATAGGTTCGGACCACCTTAAGTAGTCAACGTTACCTTTGTCCTGGTTGATTATCTTTCCACCGCGCTTGCTTGTTTTTTCCACTTGAAGACAAGTATTAATTCCCTGTTCTTGTTTTCCTAAACCTACGTAATAAATTAAAGTACGTTAACGATAAATAGAGTTATCATGCAACACCAGTATAAATATAATTTGCCCATTACCTTGTCCGTCTTTCCAGCCATACTTTGCCATAATCTGAGATGCCACAGGACTAAAAAATAAAAGAAAAAAGAGAGAGAGGGAGAATACATATCAACGGGATCAGTTACCAAGGAATAAAAGAAACAATGTAAGTGGAAAACGTCTTTCTCATACACCATTGGGTCTCATCCCTCGATCTGGAATTATGGGCACATACCACGAAAGACATTCAATGACTTTCATTGGTTCCTGGCCTTATCACCTTCCCACACCCCGCTTTCAATTTTTGGTGATTGTTCCCTTTCAATCAGCATTGTCTGGGTGTGTGAGGATATGACTAGCATGCAAGCAAGGCAGGTATCCTTTCTCTGCTTGTTTATTCCTTCTACAGTTGCAGTCACGCCGTAAGAGCTTTTCTTCTCAGCTGACTAGAAAGAAACTGCTAGCAGTCGCTGGAAAACGATAGAAATCATGAAAATAGTAGGATTTCAAAGCTCAAACGTTACCAGTAAGGTAAAGGGATATCTGTCTCAAACAGCAAAACTGCGGGAAGATCTGGTCGTACTAACAGAGAAATGAAAAAAAGTCACAAAGCCAAACGAAGAAGTAAGCTAATGGTAAATTTTGTCAAAATGTCTATATTCGATTCATTTATATTACTGTACTCGAGTGAAAATGAAGTTAAAACTGCTCAGTATTTATAAAATGTCACCTGAAAAGGTGTGTTAACTTAATTGCAGGTTTTCGACCGATACGTCCATTTCAATGAAAGGCGTCCTAAACGAAGTTTGAACGATCACTGAAAACTAACCTTAAAATTGTTTCAGGGTATAACCATGTTTTGAGGATTTTGATACCATCTTCCATTTTTATTCAACTCCCTCTTAAGCTTGTTGTCAGCGAAGACGAGCTGATCTTCACTTTGCTTATGGAAACAAGGATTTTTCAAGCCTGTAATCCCACCGGAACCTTAAAACGTTCAAGATTTTCCTTGTTTTCCAGCAACTCAGCCGCATTTTTATCATGCCTGTTTGTGTTTCGCCAAGCAGTTGACCCTCATTAGCCTTGCCTTTACGCGAAAACAAGCACTCGTCCTAAGCCGCCCAGGAATACAAACCTTGCCTAGCCTCAAGAGTTTTGTCCACGGTTGTAAAATTTCAACGTGTGAGTAAAACACAAGGTAGTGATAATCAGTTCATACCTGGCAGCAAAACCAACATTTGGTTTCTCTCCACTTGAAACAGGCCACTGCTCAGAAGAAGGTGCTGGGGCTGAAAAAAGAAAAGAATTAAAACAAAGTATTAGAATTTACAGACATAAAAGATCTAACTCTACATATTCCTTGGATATTGAAGGCAAAATACTTAAAATGGACAATGTTATTTACATTTGAATGTTAGAAAAAATAGTAAAAGAGAAAACAACACGAGTCCTCTTAGAAAGATGTTTAATTTCACAGCTTTTGTTTCCAATTTCATTTTAAAGTAAGATATCATTACAGTATCTTTGAAAAGACTCTTGCATTGATTATTGCGTTATGACACAGCTTTTCTTAACAGGAAGTATGGTCAGATGGCTGACATTGAGGAATTTTATATACCTGACTCCTCCATAAGAGCTGGGGGAGGTGCGATTGCTGCTCCACCACCGTACCGAGATGGACGGCTATGGCTGTCATCATCATCATCACCACCTCTCCGTCTTCCCCTGTCTCTGCCTCTGTCTCTACTGTTGTAATCACGATCACGATCTCTGTCTCGATCCCTGTCACGATCACGATCACGATCACGATCTCTGTCACGGTCTCTTTCCCGTTCCCTGTCTCGATCCCGTTCCCGATCTAGGTCACGATCCCGATCTCTATGCCTAAATAAAATTCAAAGCAGAAAGTGTCAAGCTCCCTGAAAATGACCAATTTCCCTTAAATATTATTACTTCAATACAAAAGAACATCAAGTTTTGTGATTAGTCTCACCCATAACAGAGGAATATGCTTTATGTTTGGAGGAAGAAATCTTAAGATATACCTAGGAGGTACACTCTTACTTGTATCTTAAGTTAGGAAGCGTTGTGAGCAAAATTATTTGCATACCTTTCTCTGTCATAATCACGATCTCTTGACCTCTCTCCTCTGTCTGATCTCTCTGACCTTTCACTTCTCTCATTTTCTTTGTCTTCGCGGAACTTTTGTTGCACAACTTCATATTCATTTGGCCTCATTGGATCATACTCATCAATAATGACAGCAAGTGAAGCCTCTGTTTCTATGAATGGTTCTGGCACCTTGTGTACATCAATGTCCTAACAGGAATCATCAAAAAACAGCTAAGGTTTTACAGATGTTTTCACTTCAATAACTTACTCCTCAGCGAAAGGCTTATGCACCTATCAATGTAAAGCCGGCGGAGTGGGAGGCAGGGCATTTTTCCCTGCCCACAGGCAAATCATCCCAGTCAAATGCACAAAAATTTCCCCACGCCGAGCTGCACATTGCTGCCATTGACTTAACTTTTACCTTCGTTCTGGTTTCTAGTAAAATTAGTAACTGACATCTTTTATGGAAATGTGACAAGAGTATCAAAACATTTTATTCCCGTACAGAATTGTAGTCATTTCAAAACTTAAGAATTCATCTTATACTGAGCTCAATCTAAATTATAGATGGCCCTGTCCCATGAATACGTTCATATAAGAGTGCAGTGTTAGGTTCTCTTGCGAAAAGCACCAAATAAAAATTTACTCTTAAAGGTCTTGATTCCTGAGACACTCACTTCCGCATTATCTACAAACACGGTCACGAAAATTCAAAATCCACAATCGTTAACGTTTTATCGCCCCAGGTTAAAGGTCTCCTGAAAATTAAACCTTCTCTGCACGTTTTCAGCTGAATTCAAATACAAGCAAGCCCGGAACACGATTAGCGACATAGGATGTCTGCAAAGTGCATGCAGGCTAGAAAAATATTTTCCACGCGTATAATAAAGTCTGTTATGAATAACTAAATCACAAAAACATTATTTGTGATGCCTTGCTTATTATAATATTTACATAGCAGAATATCAACCCTGAATCATTTGTCCACAGTACGTTTTATGTTTAAAAATGGTACAATCAATACACTGTAGTAACTGGTAATAGCTATTCAGGCCAAGAGCATTACAGCATAGAGGAAATCTTAAGACTAAAAGACTTGGGTGAGCTTACTGGTATTTCTCTGCCATCAAGATCGGAATCCTACAAAACAGTAATCAAAATAAAGCTTAGTTCATGCAAGTAATAAAAACATTTTTAGCTTGACAATTTAAAAGTTATTAACTACAAATGCGATAATACATGTACATGTATACATGTATACCTTGTAAATGCAATGGCATGCAAATTTGCATTAAATTCTTTCTCAAAGCGTTTCCCAGCCAATTAACATATTTTTGTTTGTTTACATAACAACAGCAATCCAATACATTACGCTGTATTATTCTAAAAAGGTTCAGATTTTCAGGAAGTAGAGAATTTTTCTCCAAAAACATGAAACGTAATGTAGAGGCAACTATCGATAAATTGTAGCCTAGGAGATGCAATAAAATTATAAATAAACATTTTTTGCTGACTTGACTGAAACCAACTGAAATGGCGACGTTATCTTTAATGACACTCTTGAAAGAAGGATTCACAAATGACTTAAATCAGGCGGATTACAAAACTTCTTGATGCGACTACCATGAAAAAACATCTCTCTAAAAGCTGTCTACGCCGACTACGCCATCCTCACTACAGCAACGCCTGTTTGAAATTAACTTGGAACCAGTCCGGTGCACTCAGCTAGGCGTTGACTCGCTCCTGCTCGATCTCAGCTATGGAGTCATGCAGTTTACGTTCAGCACCTACGAAATTCGCGCCATTGTCGCTTAGAATACGCACTGGGTTCCCTCGGCGGGCTCGGAAACGAAGAGGTGCCATGAGAGCCACGAGTCAGTGCCAAGGCTATGAGTGACTTCAAGATGAAGAGGAACGCGCGTGTGAAGAGGCAAACATATTGTTTCTCCACTCTGTTGCGACCAACACAATCCCGGAACGGACAAGCATAGTTCAAGCCCACAGGCTGCAATGGTGTGCGTGCTCCTCCAAGTCGCACTGCTTGCAAATTACTCATTTTCTGGGTCAACGGCCTGAAATGGCGTCGATGACAGACTGGGATTTTGACAGTGCAATTCTTCTCTTCTGCGCGATCAAGTAAGATCCAAAATTTTTCTCTCAGATGAACACGTGTTCTACTCCCGCGTGGATCAGCTTTTGGTGATAGCCAGTTACGAGGAGGCGTGCAACATCGTGTTCGTGATCCAGGATAATCGGATGTTAGGCTTCCTAGGGTAATTCAGCCTGGTCAATTCGTCCCCCAAAACGCAAAACTCTATCCACTAACTGTGGGTTAAGGCTGGTGATACGACTTGTGCATGGAACAGGGCGTCCTTTCGACTACGATTCTACTTCGGCTGGAAGTTTTCTCTCTGCACCCACTTGATCCAGTATAATTCGGCTTCCCTTAGCTCGAGAACGGATTAAGTTCCTTGACTACGTTGCCCTTTGTTTTGCACGTTGTGGCAGAAGCGTTGAATGCAGGCTGTCTCGTAAGGAAGCTTGATCCAACTAGAATAAGCTCTTTAACTCAGCCTCGTCTGTTGGGGGCGTAGGTATCGGTACGTCATCAATCGGCCATTCTGATTTGTCGCACTTGAGGAATTCTGGACCCTTGATCCAGGTAGCGATATCTGCAATATTCAGATTTGTATGCACATAATGCCGTTGTGTTGGTTTACTTTCAGTCAGCAGCTCAGTCACTCGGTTGGCAACAAGCGGACAAAAGTTTCTAGGCTCTCCACGAATCCACCAGAGCGCTGTGGTAGAGTATGTAAAAACTTGCGGTCATAGACGCTTAAATCCAGCTACTCACAGACAACCCTTTGCAAGGCGCACAGCTAACTGACAACCCATTTACTCTCCTCAAAGTATGGAAATTGTCTTCGAGGGCATAAATCGCGTCTTAGCCATAAGTAGATGACACACAGTTTCTCCGTCAGTAGCTCGCAAGTAGGCAGCAGCTGCACAGGTGTCTTCTGAGGCATCAGAAAAGACAATTAACTGTCTAATCCATGTCTGACCTGGAAGACTGTAGATGTGAGGAACAGTAAACGATTTTAGGGGCCACTCAAGATTCATATCTACTGGCACCTGGTCATGCCAATCCAAACCGAGAGATCAAGTGCATTAATGCAAGCCCTAAGGGGTCTGACCGCGCATCCCACCTGAAACCCTACCGCGAACAAGAGGTAATTTCCCTAACTCCAGCGGAGCCTATTGTCTGGAACAGCCCGTTCGGCTTCCGGCACTGTAGCTAACACTTCTGGTGGCCATGAGAGCTGTAACATCCCTGTGCAAAGTCACTGCCTCTACCAGGCTTCTACAACACGTGTATTGATGAAAATGTTACGTCTGACTACGGCAGCTGCGGTAGGCGATTCACGCAGTTCATTTCATAGATGTCTAGCGGTCTGTTTGTCTTCACATCACGCCACAGATATCAGTGGTACTTGCAATCTTCCGGTTTCAAGTGTACATGACAGAACATACACTGTATCAGAAACATCTCAGCAGAGTGCGACGGCTTTCTGAATCTCGGCAGAATACCTGACAGATCGTTAAAGGCTTAGTCCTGTATCAAGGAAGTCAATAAGGCAAATTCCTTCATGCTTTGCTGCAGAATCAAATACCACTCGCGGCAGTGGTTTATGAGGCAAGATTTCTGAGTGACGGGGGTAGAAACCAGTGCTCCGCGTCCACTGGGCACTCCTTATTGCACAGTTTGCGAGCAAACCCTTTCTCAACGTACAGAAGTATGACTCATCATAACCTTTGGCCAACTTTGGGTCTCGTTTTAGACGACGTTTAATAGATGCCAGACGTTTAAGAGTTGTCTCATAGTTATCAGGCAACGGTGGTCGATTAGCTTTCCACAGGACTCCCAGTTCATAGCCCGAATCAATCCTGCGGCATGTCTCCTTAAGTATGTCCATCACCCTATGCTCACTGCGGATGTATACTGAGGCTGCCTCCAACCGAACACCAAATGTTCCCACCTCCTAAAACATGGGGAACTGGTTGCTGATGTCATCCTCAGCCTCCATTACTTGCGCACGAAGAACACGTTTTCCTGGACCACGGGTAGGTGAAATTGGTCCAACGATCACCCAACCGAGTGGCGTCAACTCAGCATATGGCTCAAAGTGATGTCCGTGTCTGACTTCCACCTGGACCATTAAGGCCGCAGCATCTAGACTGGGTAAAACATCCACTGTTTTCGTCACCAAAGGACTCCACCAGGACATCACGTAAATGCATCTCTTGACGTCTGACCACTCTACAGTTTCCACAGGTGCGCGTATGTTCTTAATAGTCCAGGCACGGAGGGCACAAAAGGTAAGCTGACTCAGTGTGACTTGACAGTTGTTCTAACTTCTTCAACGGCCTGCACGGTAAGATTCTGCTTGGGACCTTGAATACTCAGCTGGTTTGCAAGTGTCGTCTCACTGCCGGTGTCCAGGAGAATTAGGCCAGAAAAAATCCTCCCAGAATCACTCAAAAAGGGGACTGTCACCTTTTTAAATGCAACTTTAACTGAATCCGTTTGGTTGCTCTGCGCTTTACGTCTAGCACAACGAATTTCTCCATTCTCGGTGGGCAGTTCAATGCTCAGGGACTCTTGTAGTTTCAACTCCTCTTTACAGTGGGTAGTAATGCCCTTTTTCACCTGAATTTACTCCACATTTTGTGGATTGACGGCATTGACGGCACTGCCAAAACAGACCTTTCTCGTTTTAACAATGTCCCATCGTTTCTCTATGTCGGGTGCAAGTAGAGTCGGAAATGTGACCTCTGAACGATCGCTATCACACAGTGAACACTTTCTAGGCAACAAAGCTGGATTAGTTGTTGTGACCATCGACTGATACAGTATTTTGGGGGCTTCAACAACGACTGCACAGATCCTCTACTAAATCTATCCTTTGTGGGAATGGCAGGCTGCTCATTGTAACATTCACGCGTTCGCAGTGTTTTAGCTCATGACTCGAGCCACTCAGCTAAACCTTTGACATCCTCTGACACGTGTAGTGCTCACTTTCAGTTTGTCGCACCCATTCATCTTTCTCCGGCGTGGGTAGCTTGCGAACTAACTGCGTACAAAGGAGGACACTAAGTAGCTCGTGCTTGTAATAGGGGCGATCCAAAGCGAACACAGCAGCTTATAAGGCATCAGTGAACCGTTCAACCGTTCACGGGGATCACCAAACATCTCTGCATTAATAGCTACACTGCCCTTTCATAATCACCCGGTTCTAGCATTAAACAGGCAATTACATCTGACTATCACTAAGAAGGTTATTAAAGTGAGCTAACTTGATCGGACTTTACAGAGTTTTGTTTTGATCAATCATCGAACTGAAAATGCCCCAAAAGTACGGCCACTTATCAGGGTTTCCTTGAAAAGTCGGAATTTTCACCTCTTTGAGTCCACAACCCTTACTGTTCGAGAGCTCTCCTACCAAGACCGAAGAACTTGCAGCCTCGTTTTCGCTAACAGATTGTGCTTGAAAAACCTGGAGTTCAACTTTACTTTTTCGTGCGAGATAATCCGAACTTTGCCCATAATCTAACTGACATTATACTTTAAATCTTACAGCCAACTGCCATCGCTTTCAATAGACTCTGGGTGAAGATCTTCTAGTCTCTTTTGTTAAGTCCCAGGCCTTAGTCTTTGCTTCTTCAATAGTTTTAGCAAACTGACATACCTTTGAAATGCTGCCTTCGCGACAGCCCTCTTTGAACAACATTTCTCAACTTTACTCACCTCTGGCATTATCTAGTCTTTTGACTCTTATCTCGCTCTCTCCTTGTTTTGCTTAAACTATAATTCCCACTCAGACCCCAAATCAAGCTGCAGCTTTGGCTTGGCTTCAATTTCAACTCTACCCTTGACTCGCAGGAGGACCAACGATGTAATGGCGATGTTATCTTTAATGACACTCTTGACAGAAGGATTCACAAATGACTTAAATCAAGCAGATTACAAAACTATTCGATGCGACTAGCATGAAAAAACATCTCTCTAAAAACTGTCTACGCCATCCTCAAGCCAGCAACGCCCATTTGAAATTAACTTTGAACCTGCAGTCCTTCCGCGGCGTGCGGCTTCGGCCTCACATGGCTTACATGCAAATTTTTAGCAAAAATGAGAAAAAAGCATGTCGATGAAAACTTGGAAAAAAAACTCCAGAAGAACACAAGCACCACCACCACCACCACCACCAACAACGAAAATAACTATAACAAGACGCTACAGAGCGTACACTTCGGCTTCGTTGTTGTGGAACTAATTAATTGTAAAGGCGGAGGAATAGTAAGAAATCAAATATGGTAAGAGTAAGGTGTTAATTTGTGAAATTATGGGATTTGTCAGGATATTCTGAGAAGAGCAACACCCAAGAGGCCTACTTGCCAAAAGCTAGCATTTCGGGACAAATTGTCTCCGAGATATTAGCCCAGTTATGCTCTGATGACTCCATACAAATCCTTCTAAAAAAACAATTCTCTATTTTTCTTAGTCACATCAGGCTTCAAAAACAGCATAGCAGTCTCATGTACTGAATAAAGATATGTAAGGCATGGGTAAGGAGTCAATTACGTTGAGCATGGAATTAACTAAAAATCAAAGTCACGAGTTCGAATGTTTTGAGGATAATTATTCACTGACTATCAGCACGCAGGGATGTCGGATTAACACAAGGAAGTTGTTAAAGCTCTGTAAAGATAGCCTTTACAGAGCTTTAAAACACAGCATCCGCCAACACAAACTTGACTTGAACTTTGAGTAAAACTAAACAGCCTCTACCAATAATAACAAACTGTCACTTGAACTTCGGATATCTTGCGGGTTCCGCGAACTTGTAAACACAGAACCTGAAAATCGACCTTCGTCACACTTGACTAAACACAGCAGTCCAGCTCGTGGGAAAAAACTTAGTTCGTCAAAAGAACGCGCTTGGAACTTGTATACCGTTTGACATAAGGTTCTAGAAAATACCAAACAGGCGAATAGTAGTAGCTTTTCGACAAATTTTATGATTTCAGTAACTGATGCAAATCTGCTGAGTCATGCTGAAATGTAAACATGCTCTAATTAATTATTCATGAATAATCCAAAAACGTAGAGAACGTTCGAGAAAGTCACGCAACGCATGAAAGCAATTATGTCTTTGTGCAGCATTTTGTAACTTTAAATTCATCATAAAACAGTTCGAAAGGAGGGCTCACTCGTGAAATGTTTTTCAACACTTGAAGAGAAATTTCGTGTCTCTGCGGGGCCACGAAATATCCTCTGTTTATTCCTCGAGTAATTAAAGACTAAACTCGAAGTGATCTGGAGATATCACGAAGTAGTCCGGTCTCATTTCGGGAAATAGTTGAAACAAGCCGAAAAGTTACGAACTCGCACGCCCAATCTTGTCCCGAAACTAGTGCATCATTTCATAACTATTTTTCATATCCCAAACAACCTTGGGTCGCAGTAGCGCAATCGGCTAATCCCTCAACTCCTGATCTGACGGGTCACACAGGTGAGTCGGTTCAAACCCGGGGAAAGCAAAAATAATAATTCTTTCTTCCTCAAAAAAGTTAAAGAATAAATCAAAGAAATCGAAGTGATCTCGAGATATCTCCAACTAACTCGGCTCTCACTTCGTCAAATAGCCGAATAGAACCGAAAACCTACAGACTTTGCTTGCCCAATCTTGTCAAAAAATTGTAACTTTGATACATTCCTGAGCGTCGCGAATCCTTTACTTCGCCCTCCGCCGAAGTAATAATAGCCATTCATTAAAAATGGCTCTTCCACGCTATAAAATCAACGCAGCATCTCCATACTACTAAGGCTTTGTTTGTTTGTTTGTTTCCTGGTCTGGAAAACACTTGTTTGGTGGTGTTCATTACTTTCTATAGCATTAACATACATGTATGGTTCATTACATTCATAATTTAGCTCAACAAAGAAGTTATTCTTACCTCAAATTCTTCATTTTGCCTCTTATTCCCCAGAACTACTTGATTAACAGATTTTGCTTTCTGTATGATAAGTAAATAAGGACCAGTAAATATTTACAAGATTCATCAAAAAGCTTTGTGTAGCAATAAATTATTGGAACACGATAAAAAACCCAAACGTTATTCTAATGAAGAAAATTGACTTTTACATGTACAGTAAATAACATAGAGTAAATTAATGAGCATATTTTTTACTCACCGATGTAGAGACTGGCTTTGTTTGGGCAACTTTCTTTCTTTGTAGTTGAGTCTGTAACAGCTTAAAACTTGATGACCAACCAGCTACGGATATTCAGTATAATAATCATCGGTAAGTATATGTACCTCCCCTCATGGCTTGTTCTTGCATACAGCGGAGAAGCCAACCTCACACTAACTTTCTCTATAATTTCCCTATACTACGTATATGAATATTCCAGGAGTAATAATTTTCACCTTGTAACAATTGCATTGCATCTAGTACGGGTAGATACATTGAGGATATTATTACATGGCCGTGCAGAGATACAAAATTTCTCTTCTCGTGTTGAAAAATATTTCATGAGTGAGCGCAGCAAATGAATGAAATATTTTGTCAACACGAGAAGAGAAATTTCGTATCTCCAAGCGGCCATGTAATGTTCTATTTATTATATAAACACCAATGAAATACCAAACCATTTCACTTAAATAGTTTTTTTGGTGTGAAAGTCGCGATTTATTATGTAACCAAAGCAACAGTGAAATTTTCACATGTGAAGATAACATGTTATTTTCACATGTGAAGATATCAAGTTTTCATGCGCAAGCTCACTTGGTATTTCATTGGTGTTTATATAATAAAATAGAATAATTCATGCAAAGAGCATGCATATTGTATTCACATTTACATACAATTTGTTGCAAACAAGTGATACAAAAAAAGCAAGTGCATCAAACCATACAAAACCATGCATATTGAGTTTATTACAATACATACAGTGTACAATTTTATTTTCAATCTCTCCAAAGCACTAACACTACACATTGTGAATTACGAAAGAGAATGACATCGTTTTCTGAGAACATTAACATAAATAAAATTTATAATGAGGCTAAGGATATGGGGCAACAAAAGAATAACAAGTAATCATAACTTTTTGCTCTAAAGCTGTTGGCAGAGGAAAATGAATAAGCTTGAGTAACATGGCCCATTTGAATAAACTGAGCACAGGACAAAATAGCTCATATTAAAAGTATTACTCAGGCTTACTTGTTTTTTCCCTTTCTCCTTTTGTTTTGCAAGCCCTATATTTTTTCAGAGACAATTTAATGAAATAATTATGCGTAGCCCAAGCTATTCTATGTCAATTTCTGAACGACGTCCTCTACTAAATTAGCATACATGTTAAAGTGATATATAATAACAGGGCTTCCGGAATTATAGTTTTTGGTGAATTATGCGCCAAAAATCCCAAATTATGCACGAACTATGCGAATTGTGCAACATTACACAATATTTTTAAGCGCAAATTTTATTAAGCTTGCAAATCAAGTAAGTTAAAGTAAGTAAGTAAGTCAACAAAAACAACTTACTGACTTATGCTGCCATGAGTTTTTCAGGGTGAGTGAGATAAAGTCACATGTTTATAATTGAAATAAAACATATCAGTACAAATATGATGAGCAACAACAATTTATTACACCAAACATTTACTCGTTCCTTCTTACATGTTGGGTAGCAGCACAAAGAAGCAAAAACTCTATTGACCAGATTGACATGGAATTCAAAAGTGAAATTCGTTCTTGTTGTAAAATCTAAAGCTCACTAATATGCATTTATAGATTTGCTTTGACACAATAATAGTTTAATGTTCATCTTTTCCTGCTCCTCTTTATGTACTGGTAAAAGTGTTGTACCTCATCTAACTGAGGAGATTGGAATGGACCACTTCCTTGGATTTGAAGTGGACCAAAGATTAGCCCAGAGGGGGAGCAGTCGTCAATGCTGTCACGTTTGGGCCACGTGAACACTGTTGTCCCAACTGAGTGCAGGAACTTTATTGTCAGAGTAGCATTCTTGTTCCTCAGGATTTGACCAATGTAGAATGCTTTCTGATATTCTACTGCATAGTACTCCCCTTTGTGTATTGGTTGTAACTTGTCTTCAACCTTCATCCTGTGAATCTCAAGTAACATCTGCTTCTGGAAGGAAGGGATGCTATGAAAGAAAGCTGTTTTGCCGCCAAATAGGTTGAGGCAGGGCACTTTTTTTCTTTTCCAAGCTGTGATTGGTTATATTTCTTCCAATCATGGCGTGTGTTATGTAAAAAACTAGAGCACAGGCCCCATGGCCAGCAGCATAAAGTGCCTGGAACACCTTGTTGATTTGTGATAGTTGTTTACCCTTTTTTGCAACGAAGCGGTGGCTATTTGCTGTGAAAATGTACTATATTTACGGGAAAAAAATTCCATGCATCTCTCAAGGTTTGAAAAAAACATAGCTTATCAACAAATTTTTCAAAATTTTCGAAAATTATGCACCATTAGGTGTTTCTAAGGAATTATGCGAATTATGTGATTTCGCATCCGCGCATAATTCCAGAAGTATGTGTTAATATTAGTAGTTAGTTTATACAGATTTATGTTTAGTATTTTTTACTGGAAATTTATGTTTTTGATTACTGAACGTAAATTTTCTTAACATTATTTCTATTTATAACATTCATTTGTAAGGCGCCATGATATAGGTATATAAATGGTTTTATTATTTTAAATAATAATAATAATAAAACACTTTATTAAATCATGTGTCATTTTATTCTAGTTTACAACCATAAATTAATTGGGATGCCTGACAGTGTACTTTACTTACACCTTATTTACACCTTTAATTCTAACCGCAGGTCAAAAAAACAATAAATGTGGCACAACTTACAGGTAGTTACTATTACCTTTTGAATTTTAGTGAAACATTTACATCTGTATGTTCAAATGTTAATCTGTACTTAGGCAGTGCTCGCCTATCAGAAAAAAATGTTGGAGCCAGCTGGCCCCTAAGTTTTCATTTTTGGTGACCAGAACAAGCATTCTAGTTGCCAAAAATTTATATTTAAGAACTAATAGAATACAATAAACTTAACATCTTTTACTCAGCCTTAGCAGAAAAAGAATGCTTTAAACTTCCTTTGAACTTTCTTTCGAACGGTTTTGGCTCAAGGCTCGATTACCAGTTGGTGTCCAGGAAAATGAACCCACACTCAAGCGTAACTCTCCTCAAACAGGTATTCAAGCAATGGAATACACATTTAGATAAACAAACTTTAGAAATCACAAAAAAACTTATTTGGGTTACTAAAGAACTAAATCTGCAAAATTTGTTTTGCATCCCATGTATTTGCATGTTCAGAAATGAACATCGGTGAAACTTGATCTATTTCGCTGTTGCCTGGCACGTGATCGGAAGTCTCCAGATAAAGGAAACATTGCTAATCTTTTCGTGCAAAGAGGTTGGTTTAGTGAAGTCAAAATCCCAAGTGACAAAATCGTGAGACAAACGATGACTTTATTGTTACGTTAGAAGCCCACATTTAAGACTTACCGGTATAAAGTCACAGTATCATTTTTGCATTTTTATGTACATAATGTTTACTTTAAACCAACCTGAAATGATTTGAATTCTGTCCCTACAATCAATCGAAATAAAAAGCAGGACATAACATGTCGATCAAAATCGATCATCGGAAAGCTAGTGGATAAGTCGATAGTGCTCGATAATTGTCAATAATTGTCTATTGATTAGTCTAATTTGTCGTTAAAAGTCAATAATCACAAAGTTCTCAGGGCTGGCTATCAATTTGTATCGACTTTTATCGATTTCTATTGACATCAACATGTCAAGGGAACGGAGATTCTTTGTATAAGCATCGTGAGTGTAAAAAGTTGTACGGCACTGATAATGACAATAAAGTTGAATAAAGTTGCATTAAAACATGAAAAAAGCAGATGTTATCTTGTTCAATCCGCAACCGAATGTTTACCTTAAGAAATCTGAAGAAATGCGCCTTGGTTTGCACCACTCGCCATTCAACAGCATTCAATAATCGCTTCTGTCGCTTCGCAATTTTTTCCAGTCCTGTGCCGCCATTGTTTTGGTCAGCACCGGTACACATCTTATGTATATATCTTTGAAAGGGCCCTGAGATGACGGGAAAATGCTGGGATATATAAAGAACAAATGCAGACAAAGTACTCAGATATAATTAAACGATGTCCCGTGATTTTATCTTCTGAGTACCAGTCTCCATATGAAAATTGTTCTACATGTACTTTCATCAAAGGCCCAATCTTTCTGTTTTACTATGATGAACGAAAGGAGCGCCTTCGGTACCTCCTTTTGCACATATTATTTTTTTTGGAAGCTTTTGCAATACACTTACATGCCATCTTTCTTCAAAAAATTATTTCAGTGATCATCACAAACAGTTACAGAACACCGCACTGCAAGCACTGATCGACGGTGCGAATATCTGAACGGCTACGTGACTGTACAACATCGTTCTTTCGGAAAACCTAGCTTCTTGGATCCTCGATCCTCACTCCTCGAAATTGAGACTCAATCCTTGCATCTCGAGACTCGATCCTCGCATCTAAAAACTCGAAGCGTTCAAGCTTCGAGACGCGAGGATAGAGTCTCGAGTTTTGAGCATCGAGTGTCAACTTACTTTTGAGCGGTACTGTAGCATTGCATCAAATGAAGAGTTCTGTATCACGATCATTCAGTTACTTCAGGTTTGGATTGCAATGGTGTCTTCATGGCTAATTGTCCAGGTCAATTTTATGACATTTCTTGGTGAGAAAATTACTCACATTTATTACACTGAGCCCGCGAAAACTTATTCAGGACAGACTGATCCTTTGATCCTTCACTGATGACGAGACTTGGGTCCTCAAATTGACAGCGCTAGCATAATTGTGGATAGTCAAGTAGTGACTTTGCAACACTGTATATTTATTTAGCTTACAACTCGAAAGCGTACGTTAAAGGGACTGGTTCACGATAATACGCATGCGCGCCGTTTGTCTCTTCAGAATAAATTTGTCGGGTCAACACTAAATTCGAAATCACCATTACCGGTACAATCATTGAAAATCCTTTGTTTTATTCGGACATCCGTCGCTTTGGCTGGTCTAGTTATACTTCGGTAGTGGTGATTAACGTGAGGTTGTGTCGTTTGACTGGTTACGTTTTAAGAAGACGCAAAAAATAATGTTTTGATCATGGAGGTTCAGAAGAGCATCGTGGCCGTCCGGCAACAGGACGTTCTCAAGAGTCTTTGGAGAGAGAGAAGCTTAGCCTATCGATCTGGTATGGTTCTA